CTGGACGGTTGGGCTTGACATGATTCAACACATGGGTGAAGTCTAAGGTGGTCCGGTCATTTAGGTGGGACGAGGCACTTGTACTTTACGGTAGTTGACCTGATCCAGCCCGGCCCCACCCGTGCTTAAGCTCCAGCAGGAGCGCAGCGGTAGTCACTATACCTAGCACGTTAATGAACAAAACAAAACATCAGACCCCCTAATCAATGAACCTTGGCCCGTGAAAGGAAGCTGGCGCGATAGCATCAGACGAATATTCCAGCATTCAATCTCTTTGCCAACTGAAATTCCTTTCCAGGACCTCATTGCATACACCGATGAGTATAGACTCCAAGCCTCGCTAGACACAGAGCCTCGCGTTGGGGGTGGATTAGTTCTTCACCAAGCCGGAAGAGTTCTACTTAACAAGTCAGTGGCACTCAATTCCTCACTAACCATATTTGACGCAGAAGTCAATGCAGTTATCCTTGCAGTAAGAGCCACAATGGGCCTCCCTACCTTATCGACATTGAACTTGTTGTCGATATTGTATATGTATGTCTGTTGTCACAGACATTGGAAATAATTCATGAGATTGCTTAATGAGAGGCTAGTATTGATTCTGATATAATCTTGTAGAAGACTTGTCCCAACTATCAGAGGGCTACAACGTCTTTATCTATCTACAGGTCAATTCCCCATATTCCAACCACGCTAGCCATACAGGACGTAGCATATAAAACTTGATTTGTATCATCAGTTTAGGGCTGAGGTTTACTGTGCATATGCTACACGAGTCGCATGTCTGACTACTATGCGACATGCTTAGGTATCAATCTAACAACCCATACCAAAACCGAAACTACTCATAACCCTGATGATGACCCCATGAATAATTGGAACAGTAGCCTGCAACATAGCACAATTAGGCTAGACATCGTTGACCAGGACCTAATCCGAACACTACCGCTAGGTTCGCTAATTATCTCTGGGTTCTGTTAGACAATTAAGATGTAGCCAGTAAATTAAAAAGTGTTCCGATCTGTTCCTCACAGAATAAGTTTGTCCAGTTCGCCGAGTGTGCGACAGCTTGGAAGAACCGGCCCAGACTTCCACACACCATTACAGGCGAAATAAAAGTGTTCTGGATACCAGGTCACGCCGGGATGAAAGGAAACGAACAGGCAAATGCCGCGGCTAAAGCGGCGCTACTCCTACCTCTGTGGATCCCGCATAGATCTACAGGGCACGAATTAGCTAGATGTAGGAAACACGGCACACACACGTAATCGTAATTATCCTATGACCTCACGCGCAGCAAATCGCACTGTCAGAGCCCGCGGTCACAGCCCGCGACCACAGTAGTAGATCTACTAGCGTTGAGGAGTGAGGAGTAATCAATGTATATAGACACATAGACATCCGACACTTGAAGGATACAGAATTCACGTATTAGTCTCAGGCTCTACACAAGATCCGTTGTAGTTAGGAGCCACGAGATACCACGTGATATCACCCCAATCTTACACCCACACCCATTGTATACTAAGTATAGAACGCGCGCTCGGAACCTCACCTCCACCCGCACCCGCACCCGCACCCCTAACTTCGGCATCCGCCAAAAACTGGTCAAAATCGCAATCAGGGTCCCTTCTTGAGGAATTCTGGAAACTCGAAGCACCAACCTCATACCGAGCACTAGGAATTGACACCATCTAATGATGCCCGCGTGAACTTTTCTTAAACCGTTCCCTTGAAGCCCATCCATATGCAGCCCGCTTAGGGCATGGTGACTTTGCTGCCTACCACGAACGGTTCAATCACGTCGACGCACACAAAACATGCAGTTGCGGGGCACCCAATTCACCAAAGCATCTCCTAACCTGCCACATTCCCTCAGTAAGACTACCCAGAGTTCCAAGGAGCTACAGCTACAACGTTAGTAACCTATTTGGTAGCCAAGATGGAGCGAAAAAATTGAACCGGTGGCTCCAAAATACAAAATTCTTTTCAAAAATCTGCCCCCGACATAGAGCAGAATCTCACCACGTTGATGCTGACTAGAAATCTACACAGAAGGATTTTCCACTCTGGTGTTGTGAATACCTCGGGTCAGCTCCGATCGAGCCTCATCGGGCTCCCACCATCGCGGCACTCGGCCGCAGTAAGCTAGATGAGATTAGGGCACTGACAACACAGCTAAGTACCTAATCACTCTGGCAACATCCCTACATCCGAGCGTTGCCTGGTGGACCAATGCGTTTAGACTGATGAGGATCCATGATCATAAATATTGTATTATAATTTGTCACGTGTACCCCAGTTTTTATGCATAATGCACACTAAGCTGGAAACCTGTATATACTAGACACATCCTGTAAATTTAGAGGGGAAGTCACATACCGTCTTAAGATTTTACTATATAGAAGATATAGTAGAAATCCCGAGACATCGTGACCTACAATTTCCGTATATTCACATTTTATCACCCTAGCATCCTAGGAACTTAAAACCTCACTGAGTTGCACATCACTCTGATGGCTACCGAGGGGCAACAGCATATAATGTGACGACGGTGTATAGCCCTGCAATCCCGGGAGTTCCACACTAGCAACCAGTGTCAATAGTATGTTATGACAGGAGATATTGGCAGGGGCTATGGAAGTGGTTACTGTGACAGAAGTAGGAAGCACCTGTGGTGAGTGCGTGATCAGGACTGGGGTACTGAATTTATATATAAGGAAGCAATACTTCCGCAGATAGATTGAAAATGAACCATCTCACCACTGTCCATTCCAATGCATCTCCTCACTACAGCCCTATCAATTATATCCGCGCATCCATAATCATTTGCATCCATTTCAGGTATTCCTCTGTCCCCTCATGACCTCGTTATCATAACATCTGGCCCTGTGACCAAACTCAAATATATAGATAGTCATCTATCCCGGTTTTCAATGCCCAAGAAACTCTATCGCGGATATATTTCATGTTACGGAGCAGGATAACTTTCCTATAACCCTTTGCCCATAAAAACTAAAGGCTTTGGCAATTCAGGTTTGGACAGGAAAAGGCCTCAGGTATCCAGGGCAGTAAGCTTTGGCGTCTTATGTCCTACTTAGGATTTGTATTAGATAGACGTAAAATAATAAGCCTGTTGAATTATGATCCCTTTAGATGGATAGAACAGTGTAGCTGGGAGTAGATTTGATAAAGTATAGGGTTAAACAAACGTGTATTGTTACTACAGGCTCAGCATTCCCTAAGGATGCTGCAGCCTAGCTCGTACCAACGTTCCACTACTAGGCTCATCTACACGCAAATATAGAACTACTAATACAGGGTACATATGATCTCCAAATGCCTTACCCTTTTTACTCCTATGCAGATAATAATCACGGAGGGCAAGACTGAACACCTGTACGCGGTGTCCTCTACGAACCTGGAAGTGAATATTTTCCCAGAGCCAAGTTCAGTCAAATTTTGCAATATCAAAGAAGTTGGCCCACGAGGCAGAGATTCAAATTACTCCACCACATCGCTTTTTCGCTCCCAACAAGTTTGACTTCTACCTAGGTCTCATCAAGTCTACAAGTACGACCAAGTACATCCTCATCTCAATGACCACACCTCTCTTCGACCTTCTCTGGTCTCAGTTGACCACCAAATACACGCCCACGCCGAAATTATACCCGACGGAGGAAGCAAAACGTGGCGCACAAATCTGGAAGACAGTTCCTTGGGATGGATGTGAGAGGGAGGCATGTCTGGATAACTCGGTGTTTTTGAGACGTTCCCCTGAGTGGGTATTCACGGATGAGGGTTGACTTGGGGTGAAGAAAAAGCCATCATAACTTCGCAGTGGTACTTGCAAATGAAATCTGAGACATGAGTGCTCTTCCTTTACGTTGAATCATCTGTTCTGTACTTTTCTCTGATATTGTGTCATAGCTAGATAGCTGCATACGCAATTAAAATCTGATGCAAAAAAATAATAATAATCACAACTATAACTCCCAAGCTTCCCAAACGAGGGAGAGAAGACATTCGAGCCAATAACAAGAGATTGGATCTGGCAAACTGGCTGGAAATTTGTGGGGAAGACCTGTCACAAAAACGGCAGAAAGAGGCAGGAAAAGTTGCAGCATACCAAGAATAGGCTAAATCCTGGAAAAATCAAAGGCGGCTCCAATTACCTCGACATAAAGCAATCGCAGACCCCGAAACCTGGAGAGCAGTCAAGTTCTATCAGAACCGAAAGTCGGAACGATGGAAAATAAGTCTCCAGGAATCGCCATTCCCACTCCACCGAAACCTGACAAGGGCCCAAAGCAGTCTAGCGATTCAAATACGAAGTGAGCACATGGGGCTCAACTCGTATTTATACAGAAGAAAAGTACCCGGAGTCTACAGTCTAAGCTGTCCATGTAGCTACCAATCGCAAAACCTCAAGCACATGATTATGTCCTGCCATCGATGGTCAAATGGAAGAGGAGAGATCTGGAAACAAGCGAAAGATCGGTCCTACGAAGCTATGCTAAGCAATCCTGGAGATATCAAAAGGATAACACAATGGATCCTAAATCATGGTTGGATAGAGCAATTCCAGATGGCAAAGGCGGTCGAAATGCTGCTGAGGGAAAGGAAAAAGTCATGCCTTTCTTGAGGTCGATAAAGCTGATGTGATTGGGTTGTATGGAGGGCACTATAGTGTAACTGCGCTTCCTAAAGGATACTTTATAAAAAACATAGAAATTAAGCAGGAAGGGTTGGGGGGTTTTCACCAAAAGGTTTCCTCCCATGTAAATTAGAAAGGATGGTAGACACCTGCCTGGGCCCATAGGGCGCCAAATCAGGATAATGAAATCAAATTCAAAATCTATAACTCCGTTATTTTAAGGTACAGGGATAATTATGTTTGATCAACGCTCTTATAATTCAACAAAACCAACTGTTGGAATGTGTATATTTTACTAGGCGCTTAGTGCTGTGCATCTCTCTGTTGCTGAGTCATTGTCTTGATGACTCAGCCAGTACCGCGAACTGGACCTTCGCAGTGTTCCCAGATAGAAACAAGAAGAACAAGAATCCATACCTCAACTATCGTACCTTTCGTTTTGCATTGAACTAACCTCACGTACACGTAAAATAAGGCCAATCGACACTAACCAAACCAAATCAAAAAACATCATTTTTCACGAAAAGCGGCACAACGTTACACAAACGTTATTTCATCGTTTTTATTATTGCATTCTTCTTAATCAATCTCACTTACCTGATTCCTTGAATTTTTTTCGTTGCGCTTCGGCATGGCGAGATGGGGACCCAGAAAGGTGGATTTCGCGGTTGAAAAAGTTTTCACGGCACCACCAACGGACAGCGGAACGACCGCAATTACGGCTGTAGAGTCTCTCGCGACTTCTATAGGCGTACACATGGATACACTAATGACAGTAGGGTAAAATTTTAAACAAGGTCAGAGACAGACTGGTTATAGCAGGCACTGACAAATCTGCGACACCGATGGTCGAAGTAGGTGAGACACTCGATGCCTTCAAATCCCACGCTACGATGTTACAATTGTAGCTGAAGGCTTCACGAATGGAAGAATGGATGCTGGCCTTAGAGAAGGCAGTTCAGAAGAATCTCAAGGAGCCGTCGCGCAAGACGGCTGCCTCGGCAGTAAAAGGGATGGGAGGGCGATCCACATACGCCTCAATCGTCGCGCCACCAGCGACTAAAGTGGCTTTACGAATACGTATTCAAGAAGCAGAAAATATGGAGCCAGCAGCGCTCCTTGACAAGGCGAAAATACACATTGAGGGGGCATACGCAGTAAGGAAGCTGCGGAGCAACGATACGGAGGTGTTTGTGCAGTCGGTCTCTCAGCGAGACGTTGCCTTGAGTATGGCGCAGCTAAAGGAGCTCTGCGTCTTGAAGCGGGATTATCCTGTTGAGATTTTGGGGATCCCATTGGGGACATTCATAAGAGGAGGAAAAAATCCAAACAACGGAGAATTCATAAATCGAGTCGTTGCAGAAACAATAGTTCGGATCCCCGAACTAAAAATCAACTGGGTGAGATGGCTCTTCGACGGAAAGGAGCACCTATGGATGGGAGTTAACGGCCATACTCGAGGGTTAATCGTCGCGAGTCTGCCGACAGAGGCACTTCAACGCGAAGTGATAAGAAACGGCATTGTATACAACTCAATGTTGTACACGGCCCAGCTCTGGTCACCCCGTGCTCAAATCAAGCAGTGCATCAACTGCTGTCAATGGGGGCATACCCAAGCCTCATGCAATAGGGTAAGGAGATGTGGTGAGTGCGCGGGCACTCATCAGACCAGGGACTGCCCGAGGAAGTCTGTGCTTTGCTGCAACTGCGGCAAGGACCATAAATCGCGGCAGAGAGGGGCGTGTCAAAACTTCGCGTCATACAAGGCAAGCGTTTAATGGGCACGGTATGAACTAATGGAGAGAATGGCGGAATACAGAAAAGGAGAAATACTAACCACAGCATCTACTACAACAACTACGACAAAACCTACAGACGACCAAGGGTTCACATTGGTGTGCCAACAAAAGCCGGAGGTATTAAAGAGAGGGCCAGGACGCCCCTGCAAACAGCTCCTGGTCAACCCACCACCACAATTATTTGGACCATCGGGGTCAAGTTCAAGTCCAAAGTCGTCACTTTTCAGCACGCGAGGGCAGGGAAAGGAAGGCGAGTTCGAATATAATTTTAGCTAGTCCTGTCTCGGACTGATTGCCAATTGCACTTCCTACAGGTAACGAAGGACTATAGAGAAATATAAAAGTAAACAGGGGAGGGGGTTGTTACCGCAAGGTTTTCTTCTCATGTAAATATATACATAGGCTCATAGCCGCCTGCATGGGCCCACAGGCTGACAAATCGGGTTAAATGAAATCAAATTCAACCAAACCAAATGCCCCCACCATATTCTATTTTGTCTTTGTTTTGTTTTGTTCATTAACGTGTTGGTATAGTGACTACCGCTGCACTCCTGCTGGAGCTTAAGCACGGGTGGGGCCGGGCTGGATCAGGTTAACTACCGTAAAGTGTAAGTGCCTCGTCCCACCTAAATGACCGGACCACCTCAGACTTCACCCATGTGTTGAATCATGTCAAGCCCAACCGTCCAGAGAACCTTCTTTTGACGCGCTGAAGCGCAAATTCCTCCTCAGCCTCGGCCACCACGCGTCCTAGCCCTTGTCATCCTCATTGACTCCGAAATATAAAAGCCGTCCAAAATCTCATCATTGCTCTAGCCTTGCACCTTCATATCGTACCGTTGGGTTGTTTTCGTCATTGGGGATTTGTGTAATCCCCTCGGTGTATCTTCTCTTTTATTCCTCCTTTGCACACGTCCTATTTCCATCATGACTTTCCTCATCAGGGCGTGTATAGATAGATGATGTGCCGAGGATGAAAGTGGGTTGCAGGTGTGAGATCGGCTGAGATATGGATCGTCGCAAATATATAAGGAGTTTGTGAGATGTCAGATGTTTGTATACGACCCCCAAACAGACCTGGGCCCCTTTGTGAATCTTATGTTGATGATGATGAGTTTTTGTTCGACGTTGTTCCGGCTGTGAAATCTCTGCCGACTGATTTTTCGACCAAAATATCGAGTGCAACTCCTTTAAGTCGAAAATCCATCAATTAAAATTCATCCCACCATTTTCTTCGTGACTGAATCTCGGCTCTGAGAGAATGTTTCACTCCCAGGTTCGTAGAGGACACCGCACACCGGTGTTCAGTATTGCCCTCCAGAGTTTTTGGTTGATAATATTGTTTAACAATGTTTACTAATGTTCTTTATTAAGGATGGTAAGCCCTGCTACGAAGTCACGAAAAGATACAAGGTACAGCTACAGTGGAAGGACCCACTATGAATTATCACACCTGATTGGTCAATAGTCAAGGGATGGCCATGTCTTACGTTGCCATTGCCTCCTGTTTGTCAATAATATACAATACCTTCTCACCTCACTTCTCAAATATTATCATCTTAATTCACAGATATACGACATGTCAGATCATGCGAGGGTCCTCGAACTTCTGGCTGAGAAGCCAATGCGTCCAATCCTCGAACTTCTGGCTGAGAAGCCAATGCGTACACTCCTAGAGGAGTTCCAGGCTAATCGTATCAAAAGGGGTAGCCTTAGAATAGGTAAATACTACTTGAGTTTTGAAGAAAATGCAACTAACAGAGCAGCTCTCCGAATTTTTATCTGGAACCTGGACACATTCTGGGGATATTTGTTGCGCGAAAAAGAGTGGTTATCGAAAATATCGTTACCGATTGCTTTGGACTTTACACTTACCGATAGAGCTGATTATTCCATATACAACCATCTCATTTGTGCTATTGAAAAAGGCTACGACGATATTTTCATCTTACAAACCTTTACTAATCTTGCTGGAACCCTATCATGCTACTTATTTCCATCCCTTCCTTTTCTGAGAATCCCATCCTCCCCTATGAATAGCTCGAATTCAGTTCTACGCAATGTTCCAGAAGAATGTTCGCATCTTCCTGCCACTCCCACGGAATACTTTGAAAAAGAACTCGGCCACCAGTCGTTTACTTGTATTTTAAAATTTTGGGATAGATTTTTCGAAGGTAAAGACTGGTCTGATCAAACAAAGCGGATTTGGGAGGGCTATAAAAATTACAAAAATGACTCAAACCCCAATAAATTCCGCTTCAACTTGGCTGAGCAGGGGGTCTGGGACTGGCTCGCTTCATTTAATAATCTATTTTTAAGTCAGTTTACGGAATCTCCATGGCCACTATCGGAGCATTTTCCTACTCTTAACAGAAACGAAAATGACATTCAGCTCCGTGGAAAAATCTGTCTTTTAGGAATGATTAAAAGATGGGAAAATTACAAGTATCAGGGTCAGCTCGATTTCCATATTAGACGTGCTAGCCGGCCTGGAGAGTCTAATGACTGGGAAGATGTAAGGGTGGTGGCTGGATTTTCCTCAAAACCTGCAAAAGATAGGAGGAAAGTAAAGTTTATCGAAATGGCAGCTTATGTTTCGGAAATATTTACTAGACAGCCACTGCGTCGATTTGTGCATGGATTCTGCTTGTTCGATAAGGAAATTGAGTTCTGGCTGATTGATCGAACGGGTGCTTTCAGCTCGGGACTTATTAGCATCGAAGATGATGAGCGGGCTTTGGTCCGTGCCATCTCCTCATATTTACTTATGAGTGACGAAGAGCTGGGTCTCGATACCACCATTCGCCAAGTCGATGAACGGTCCATGATCACAATTGCCAATGGTGAGTCTGGGGAGACCAGAGAGATAGAAATCGACCCTAAACCCTTGACCCATCCACGAAAACTGCTTTCCAATGGCACCACTTGCTATCGCTCGCTTGATGATAAATTACTAGTCAAATATTCATGGCGCAAAATTTGTGGAAAAGGCGAGATAGACTTATTAAAAGAAGCACTCCCGATCAAGGGTGTGATCAACCTAGTGGCATCAGATACCATTCATAGATTTACTGATAATTGGGAAAATCTACTTTCTTTGCGTCCTAAAAGATGGTACCTGGCTGAAGAAAGACAATTTTTCGAATATTCTGATGAAGAATCATACAAAACTTCTGAGTTTAGCGACTACGAACTAAATAGAGTCGTTCTATCACCATATGGACGTCCACTTAAATCTTGTACATCAGTACTACAATTTCTCACTGTCATACGAGATGCAATCATGGGGCATCAGCGTCTTTACTACGAGAAAAGAATTACCCACGGCGATATCTCTCAAGGCAATATCATTATAGTAACGCCATCAGAGGAGGATAGATCGAGAGGGATGTTGATCGATCTTGACAATTCAATTTCGTGGTATGACGAGTATTTATCGAAAAAATTAAGACGTTTCGCAGGCACAATAAAGTACATGGCGCTTGAAGTTTTGCTATGCAACGCAGGACATATATCAAGCTTGAGTGCAGACTACCAACATTATCACAAATTTGACCTAGAATCATTTTTCTATGTGTTCTTAATAGGATGCGTAGAATATGGACGTGATAGTGATCAGCCAATGCATAATTTAGCATCGTGGGACACAGACAATATACATCGTAATGTAGAAAATAAGATAAATGACATGCAATGGAAATTTGAGGACCTTATCAACATCAAATTCTCAAGCAGTTTCGTAGATGTCAAGGACTTGGCCATTGAGCTACATAAGATTTTTTTTGGAATTTCTGGAGATAATTTCAGGCATGCCGCCCATGAGAATTCGATGTACAACAAGATGATTTCGGCGTTCAATAGAACCATCGGACAGATTGAAGGTATGATTGATTTCAGATTATGTTGAAGTGCCGTTAACTGTTATTGGAGACTTACTGACAACTCGCGACTTTTATTAGCCGGAAAAATTCCAAACAGAACGTGGACCGATAAGAAGACTGCAGGCGCATGATGAAATTTTGTGACTATTGTAATTGACAAGAAGCGTTTGTAGAATCTCCCCGTAAAGGTAGAAAAAAGGTTGTGTGTCTGAAGCATTATTTGGTGGGCTAGTTTCAAAAATTGAAACAAGCCAATAATTCACAAAAAGCAGCACGGTGTCTGAATTTGCAGCTTTCATCTACCCGAAATTGTGAGACTGGTGTTTACGCAACACTAAGCTACCTTGCATACCGAAGAAGCACCGCTAGAATGTGTGAGGCGTTTGGGGCTGGTGAAGCGCAATCTAGCAGGCCCAAAGCATCGCGCACAACAACTTCATCAAATCCTCAAGACAGTGGTATAAGGCCGTCATTCAAAGATAAAGTTCTCAAAAACGTATATCCATATTGTAAAAGATAAGGCTAACTTGTGGGCACGAAGGCTTCAATGATGACCTACACATCAATGAAGGTCTCGAACGTCCACTTAAAAGACCGGAAAGATATTTGCTCAAAGGGATCCCTCATCGTGAAATGGAGTCGGGTATGGAATTTTTCAATATAACCAGATTCCATCTGCGGATACTAAGTAAAGCACTTATCCTCAATCACAAGATAGAATACTGTAGCATGATAACAGAGGCGGAAACCTGAATCTCAAGGTTATAGCTGGCGAAGGCCAACAGAAGGACGAATACTGGCTTTCTCAAGACTTAGGATTAGCAGGGAACTCGTATTGGTGGGAATGCTTTCAAACTTTTCTTTTCTGGTATGACTTTCCGAGAAACTTTCTCTTCTTTCTAAATCATGTAATGTATCTACAGCTCTCCAGCAATATACATGATTAGTATCTTATATTGATATTGGATGAATCCTTTGACTTTAGAGACACTAAAACTCCGGATAACATTTGTATGGCACCCAACAGGAGGGCAAGACTGAACACCTGTACGCGTTGTTCCCTACGGATCTGGGAGTGGAATATTTTCCTAGAGCCAAGTTTAGCCAAATTTCGCAATACGATGGTAGTTGGCCCACAAGGTAATGACTCAATATACACCTCCACGTCAAATTTTAATTCCCACAGAGTTCGGCTCCTGCCGAAGCCCCTACAAGAATACAAATATGTAAGGATTCACTTTCCCGTCCTAACCTTTGTTTATAATTTTAACCTTCTCCTGATGTTGCTATGACAACAGAAAAGTTCTTGGCACTGGTTATTATGTTGGTACTAGTTTAGGGCCTATGTTATGATGAGCTAGTTGGAGGAAAGCAAGTAATGTAGGATGGCACCCTTTAGTCTGAATACTACCTCTTTGACCCATGTCTCCGCCCAGCTGTCTACATGCTGCTCTGACAAAGTACCACGTATGACATCCTGAATCCAATGATTACACCTCTTGTCGACTTTCTCTGTCCTCAGCTGGTCGCCAAATACACGCCCACGCCGATATGTACACCTGCAGGAGGAAGCAAATTGTGGTGCACAAGTCTGGGAGACTGTTATTTGGGATGGATGTGAAAGATATCGGGACAAGTTTACAAGAGGATGGATACAATCTCGAATGGCGTGAAATTTCGAATTTACGCAAGGAGTTTTGCAAATGGAGCTTTGTGAGCCGCAAGACCTCGCTTGAGATATTGTAGCTGACATTATAAATCCAAGTCAATTACGGAAGGTGTTGTGGTCCGCCTCGTGGTGGTGTTCTCCGGTATAGTCTGAGTAGCCTGGGCACCTTCTCCACTTGGGAAGGAGACGCTGTTGTGCTAATGATGGCATGGATTACGATGCAAAAGGGTAAAGATCACTGAGAGTGAAGGAAGAACTGTTGGAGCTTTGTCGTTTCTTGATAGAGATGAGATAGAGGTTTATGGGTCACGATGTATGAGACAACTGGGATGTGGATGTCTGCGTTCCTTACTATTATTGTTGTACTAGCTAGGCTCGTGCTTTATCAGGAAACTGGGGAGCTTTTCCTGTAGCATGTGAAGAATATTTACGGGTATCAACAACTCAATAGAAACAACTACAGTGCCTCTGGGATATATAATGTTAACCTCGAAACTGGGATGTTTAAGGGATTAGCCCTGTAGACGCAGTTGGGCTAGCTCGTAATAGGTTAGTATATCTCTCCTCCTTACCCCGCTCGCCATGAAGTATGGTCCAATCGGCTTCTTCTAACATTCGGTTAGAAAAACACATTGTCAACGACGCTTTTGGCTGACTAACTTACACAGTCCCTGAAGCGGAGGACGAAGGCTGCATACCTGTCGGTGGTGCCCTCTACGAACCTGGGAGTGAAATATTCTCCTAGAGCCGAGATTCAGTCACGAAGAAAATGGTGGGATGAATTTTAATTGATGGATTTTCGACTTAAAGGAGTTGCACTCGATATTTTGGTCGAAAAATCAGTCGGCAGAGATTTCACAGCCGGAACAACGTCGAACAAAAACTCATCATCATCAACATAAGATTCACAAAGGGGCCCAGGTCTGTTTGGGGGTCGTATACAAACATCTGACATCTCACAAACTCCTTATATATTTGCGACGATCCATATCTCAGCCGATCTCACACCTGCAACCCACTTTCATCCTCGGCACATCATCTATCTATACACGCCCTGATGAGGAAAGTCATGATGGAAATAGGACGTGTGCAAAGGAGGAATAAAAGAGAAGATACACCGAGGGGATTACACAAATCCCCAATGACGAAAACAACCCAACGGTACGATATGAAGGTGCAAGGCTAGAGCAATGATGAGATTTTGGACGGCTTTTATATTTCGGAGTCAATGAGGATGACAAGGGTTAGGACGCGTGGTGGCCGAGGCTGAGGAGCAATTTGCGCTTCAGCGCGTCAAAAGAAGGTTCTCTGGACGGTTGGGCTTGACATGATTCAACACATGGGTGAAGTCTGAGGTGGTCCGGTCATTTAGGTGGGACGAGGCACTTACACTTTACGGTAGTTAACCTGATCCAGCCCGGCCCCACCCGTGCTTAAGCTCCTGTAGGAGTGCAACGGGAATTAATATACCTAGCACGTAAATGAACAATACAATAAAATACAATACAGTCCTTGAATCCAGCGCTTTCGTATACCATCTACGACCTCTCACTGCCACACACCTCACTCACTCATGCCTCCCCAGTCCTCCGCAGAGGCTGGCACTTGGCCCCCCCTCCCACCCGCAAACTCGACGCGTCCTGACGTCGAAATGGTCCTCACAGGGCCACCCAACCATCACGAAAATATACAAACAAACGCAGAGCCTATCTGCAAGGCGAGCTGCCAATACTCGCCCCCAAACTACACCGAGTGAATGGGCGTTACCTTAACTAACTTCCTCGCAGATGAATCGGGGGCTTTCAACACACGCTTTGCAGATGCTCAGCGTCTAATCAGTGGGTAAACTGACCTACTGGCCAGCACAACCGACCATCAGCTCCGCCGAGCTGTTGAAAAGAATTGAGAGGCCCTACAGGCCATGATAGCAGACATTCTGCGTGCAAAACCCCAGCCCCGATCGAGTGGGCCACTAGAGGCTGCCAGTGGCAGCAAAACGACACCCCCTGCCGTGCCGGCTTCTAGGCCGGGAGGAAAGAATACCGTAAGCATTTCACGACCAGTGCAAATCCTCGCGAGACAAAGTAGCAACCAGATAAAAGGCAAAGAGCCGGCTGCAACAATGCCTACTAGACCAATTGAGGGCGATGGACCACAAAGCTCCAAAACTACTGGGAGATCCTGGACCCAGGTGGTTAGGAAAAAGCCTAAGCCTGTACAACCAGTCGCGGCAACACCGCTACCAGCCAGTGTACCTACGCAAACTCCGAGGCCTAATGCCTCAGCATCAAAACCAGCCCGCCCAGATGAGCGTGTGTTCCTGCGGGTCAAGCCCGACCATCCGTGGTGACGTATGTCTCCACACTTCATAAAAATAAGCCTTGCGAGCAAGCTGCGGCTGGCTAACTCTGCAATCAAGCAAGTCACTGTCGTAAACTCGGGGTTTGCGATACATGCAGAGGGGTATGGAGCAAGAAGCGCGCTCCTCTCGGGTGCCGCTCTCTTAGATATCGCAGAAATGAAATTGGAAGCTGCCTCCAATTGGAACTCGGTGCTTGCACCAAATATTCCTGATAGGCTTTATACCCTTGAAGGTCCAACCCCAGTTACATCAGAAATGGTGATTGAAGAAGCGACCCTTAAAACCGGCGTCAGACCAACCTCAGCTCGTGCTTTTGCGACATACACAGCGAGGCTATCAACTGACTGGGTGTTGCACTTTGCAACAGGAAAACCAAATCTGGGTGAAAGACTCTTCGAAGAGAGCGGTCGCCTACAAGAACTCCAGCGCAAGCCTAAAATTGCGCAATGTAACCGGTGTTGGGGACACCACCCCACAAAGATCTGCTCACGAGCGGAACGACGCTCACATTGCGGCTCAATCGAGCACAGAGCTTCCGTGTGTAAACAAATAATCCCGAAGTGCATGAACTGCCACGGGCCACACTCTGCGATTGAGCCACACTGTATGCCAAGACCAACCCGGGTAGGCGGTAAAGCTGTGCAGCGAACGAAAGACCAGCTGGCAGTAATACGCGAACAGGGTCTCAAAGAAAGGAATGCTTCGATCCGCAAACTAGAAGCAAAGCAGAAAGCCACCGAGACTATTGCCGACAACGAAACCACGAACGTAACTCAATGCCCATAAGGGACCACAACCTTACCGAGCTAGACACCACGGCAACAACGATTTCGCTCCTCTGCGCTATTCTAGGCAGATGATACCAGGCTACGGACATCATCCTGCAATCCGCTTGGGATTCAGGAACCGATATCCTACTCATCCAGGAACTCTGGACTCAACTTAACGACGGAATATGGCTCACCAAGTCACACCCCGGTTTCGAAAAGCACACGCCTCTTCGTGCCGCTTCTGACCCTACAAGGCCTCGTTCGCTTATTTACACGCGAAAAGGTATTGAGTGCCATCAGCAAGCAATCTGCGAAGCATCACCAGACCTA